ATACGACGCACGCGCTCAGTTTTATCCGCGAGGCGCTAGCTCAATTAGGGGCAAAAAGACGGAGAGGGGTCGTAATCGCCCCCCCCTCGGCCGGGGTATATGCAGAAAACCCAAAATTTCGTTGAGGGTTAAGCACTGAAGTGATATATTATGATGCGAGAAGATATAGGTCAAAACAAGTATGCACTCGAGCGGATGTGAATAAAACTGTGTTTGAGGTATGCCTTTTTTATTATACATTCGATTTGCTTTAGTTATTGGTAAGAACAGATACAATTAAGTAGAGCGCCCCTGAAGAAAAGGTGGCGCACTTGACGGGTGCGATTTTAAGGTCTAAGGTCAGTCGGGGACCTCTAAGTTCGGATCAAGCGCTGCATGTTAGGGTTAAGGTTAAAAAAATGGGGGGGGGGGCAAAAATGCATCTCGATTTTGGCAGCATCGTCATGCTTTGTCACGGCACTCATCCACTCCCTCGGCCGAAATATTAGCTCCTTTTTGTATGAGTTCTGGCATAATCCCGCACATTATGCTGCATGTTGTTTGCCATGAAAAAAGCATGTTCAGTTACGTTCTACGCAGTACGCACTAACCTAACCACCATCCCATCACCCACCACTAGCCACCATCCCGTTCTGTGATCCCTTCCACCCCACACGAATCAGCCGAGATACTAGTCAGTCGGGCTAGCGCTATCCTCCCCTCCCTTCCTGACTGCACAGCGCTAAAACCCAGAGCCGAGACTTCCCGAGCGCGACCTCTGACCCCACGCGGTCCGAAGGGTCGGCCGATGCCTAAGGGCGCGCCGCGCGCCGGCCACCCGGATAGCCTCTGCCGAGTCTCCTTTCCATACACCGTTTACTACGCGCTCGATTCATTCATGATTCTGTGTTTCCGCGTCCCTCTCGCTAGGTGACACCACGGATGTCATAGGCGATCCCAGGAAGACTGCGGCCAGAATGCCCCAAACGGCAGAAAATGAGGTTTTTGCTAAATATCTCAGAAAGTATTTGTCTTACGACGATGCAATTTCACAGTGTCGTGGCAAATGTGCATACGCACAAATCGGGTTAATACTTATGCATTTGAACATTATATAGGACCAGATATGTCCGAAAAAGCAAAACCAACAAGGCTTTTACTGGAGAACCGTACCTTTAACCCGCGCCCAGATGGGGTCTGCCGAGCAACGCGGTCTGATGGGGGGGGGCCATTTTGGCCCCCCCTCAGATCTCGAGAACCACGCAACATAGCGACAAGCGGTAAACGGTGTTGGATAGCCCCAACGGGGAACTACCTTGTGACCCAATTTCATTGACCTCGGTCAAACCGATGACGTCACAGGTCAGGTCAAAGGTCGAATTTTCACCGTTTACAGGCATTTCAAAAAATGCGTTGTAAAATCGTGTAAAATGCATTTCATTGAAAATCATCGATGGGGAAATGTTCTTGAAACACATATTTTGCTATTTGAGGTCACTGATACCAGGTCAGGTCACAGAGGTCAGGTCACTGGGGGGTCACAATATGAAAGTGTCGTGTGATACATGTTTTATGGTCCATTTTACATGACAAATGCGATTATGTGGGTCAGACAGACTTTAGGGCCAGCTTAGGTCACGTTTTGGTCAAGGTCAGGTCAAGGTCAGGTCAAGGTCAGGTCAAATTAGGTCAAATTTCAAAGTTGATATTTTTGCATAAAATGGGTATCGATTCGATGCAGCTCGTCACGGGGAGTTCAATGGTGGTCTCCGTTTTGCGCTACGAGGTCTAGAATTGCTAAAAATTGAGTTCAAAAATTTGACGTCATCAATTTTTAACAGTTTTTTCGCTATAACTTGGCCAAAAAAAGAGGTATCGATCTAAAATTTGGTATGTATATCGAAGAGCGCAGGGTCTATCACATATATTCCGGTTTTTTCGAAATTCGAAAAATTTTTGGAAATTTTTTGAGTTTTTCTGAAAAAATCAATTTTTTTGATTTTTGGGGGTCAAAATCCAAAAATTTCGAAAATCCGAGATAGCAGTTTTGTAGCGCCGTCTTTTCTCTACACAACCACATAAAGAACTTTAAAATTGCTTGTTAACTGTAGAATTGGTGAGCGTTTCAAGATGTCATGTTTTTTGCTCATTTTTACTCGAACATGACCTCAGTTTGACCTCAATAACTCCTGACCTGAGGTGACCTGTGACTTGAAATTTTGTGTGAAGGTGTCAAATTGATGTCCGGTAAGGTACCCAAAATTTGGCGGCGCTGCGCGCCGCCGTTTTCTCGCTATTTAAGAAAAACCACAGGGGGGGGGCCAAAATGGCCCCCCCCATCAGGGCGCGGGTTAACCCTCGCCCCGTTGGGGGGGGCCATTTTGGCCCCCCCCTGTGGTTTTTCCTGAATAGCAAGAAAACGGCGGCGCGCAGCGCCGCCAAATTTTCAGTACCTTCCCGGGCATCAATTTGACACCTTCACACCAAATTTCAAGTCTTAGGTCACCTTAGGTCAGGAGTTATTGAGGTCAAACTGAGGTCATGTTCGAGCAAAAATGAGCAAAAAACATGCAATTTTGAAACGCTCACCAAATCTACAGTTATCAAGCAATTTCAAAGTTCTTTATATGTTCTAGTAGACAAAAAGCAGCGCTACAAAACTGCTATCTCGGATTTTCAAAATTTTTGGTTTTTGACCAAAAAAAAATTCAAAAAACTGATTTTTTTAGAAAAACTTTGAAAAAATCCAAAAATTTTCCGAATTTCGAAAAAACCGGAATATATGTGATAGTCCCAGCGCTCTTCTATATACATACCAAATTTCAGATCAATATCTCGTTTTTTGGCCAAGTTATAGCGAAAAAACTGTTCAAAAATGATGACGTCAAATTTTTGAACTCAATTTTTAGCAATTCTAGACCACGTACGGCAAAACAAAGACCACCATTGAACTCCCCGTGACGAGCTGCATCGATTCGATACCCATTTTATGCAAAAATATCAACTTTGAAATTTGACCTAATTTGACCTGACCTTGACCTGACCTTGACCTGACCTTGACCAAAACGTGATCTAAGCTGGCCCCAAAGGCTGCCTGACCCATATAATCGCATTTGTCATGTAAAATGGACCATAAAACATGTATCACACGACACTTTCATATTGTGACCCCCCCGTGACCTGACCTCTGTGACCTGACCTGGTATCAGTGACCTCAAATAGCAAAATATGTGTTTGAAGAACATTTCCCCATCGATGACTTTCAATGAAATGCATTTTACTCGATTTTACAACGCATTTCTTGAAGTGCCTGCAAACGGTGAAAATTTGACCTTTGACCTGACCTGTGACGTCATCGGTTTGACCTAGGTCAATAAAATTGGGTCACAAGGTAGTTCCCCGTTGGGGCTATCCAACGCCGTTTACCGCTTGTCGCTATGTTGCGTGGTTCTCGAGATCTTAGGGGGGGGGCCAAAATGCCCCCCCCCCCAACCGGGCGCGTTGCTCGGCAGAGCCCAACGGGGCGCGGGTTAATAATCGTTTGGCGTCAAAATACCTCAGTAATAAAAGTTTCGGCAGGTTCTGAAGCACACATTGCCAGAATATTGTCAACGAGAGTTGACGCATTTAAAAATTATCGCAAAAAAGTGGGGCCTCAAGGGGTTTGACGTCCATAGTAGAAGACCCGTGAACGGTGAAACATTTCATCTTTGACCTGACCTGTGACGTCATCGGTGACCCCGAGGTCAATAAAATTTGGTTTCCTTTAACAAATTTGACAGGCCTTTCGAACGCCGTTTGAATTTTGTGGATCCGTCCAGTAGTTTCGGAGATACGAGGGGGGCAAAAAATAGCCCCCCCCCCCCACCAGGTCGCGTTATAAACAGACCCCACCAGGGCACGGGTTAACAGGGCTACAAAACTGCTATCTCGGATTTACGAAATTATTGGATTTTGACCCCCAAAAATAAAGAAAATAGATTTTTTGAATATAATAGCCGAAAAAATCCAAAAAGTTTTTTGAATTTCGAAAAAACCGGAATATATGTGATAGTCCCTATCGCCTTCTAGCTACATACCAAATTTTAGATAGATACCTCTTTTTTGGCCAAGTTATAGCGAAAAAACTTCAAAATTGATGACGTCAAATTTTCAAACTCAATTTTTAGCAATTATAGACCTCGTAGCGTAAAACAAAGACCACTATTAGACTCCCCGTGACGAGCTGCATCGAATCAATAACCATTTTATGCAAAACTATCAACTTTGAAATTTGACCTTTTTTGACCTGACCTTGACCTGACCTCCACCAGAAAGTGACCTAAACCGTACCTGATGGTCTTGTAACCAACACCATTGAGTTGGAAATGAAAAATTGGCCATAAATCATGCATCGCACAACCGTAGTAAAGCTGGGTTCATGTGGTTCATGTGGTGACCCTTGGTGACTTTTGGTGACCTGACCTGTGACCTGACCTGGTATGACCAGTGACCTCTGATAGCAACATATGTACTAGACAACTGACGCCCTATCGCTGATTTTCGACAAAATGCATTTTACTCGGTGTTATAGCGCGTTCCCTAGAAGCCCCGTGAACGGTGAAACATTTTATCTTTGATCTGACCTGTGACGCCATCGGTGACCCCGAGGTCAATGAAATTTGGTTTCTCTTGACAAATTTGACAGGGCTATCGAACGCCGTTTGAATTTTCCGGATCCGTCCAGTAGTTTCGGAGATACGGGGGGGGGGAATGCCCCCCCCCGCGCGGAAGGTGGCCGGGAGGCCCACCGCCTGCCGGGTTAAAATACAAAATTGTTGATTAATTCAACGTTACTACTTTTTACCGATTTTAAACCGTTGTGCATGTCATTTCTGGTCTCCCGCTATCACCTGAAGACTATGCTGAAGACACCTGCGGTGCTCTACGCCCCCCCCCCCCACCCCAGTGCACGCTGAGCCTGCCGGCGGTGGTGTCGGCGGCTTTGACACCCCATCCTGCCCTCCCCTCCCCCTCCCCAGTGCACGCTGAGCCTGCCGGCGGGAGTCAGCTGCGGCAGCGCCGAGTTCAACCACAACGGCCAGCTGCTGCTGTGCGCCTGCAGCGACGGCCACGTGCGCGTCTACGACGGCCGCATGGAGGGCTGCATCAGCGACTGGACGGCGCACACGGGCGCCGCGCTGACCGTCCACCTGTCCCCGGACCAGACGCACATCTACACCCTGGGCGCGGACAACAAGGCGAGTCAACGTGTCCGCCGCGACTGCGTGGAGAGGAGCGGACAGCTCGGTGGGGCAGAGGATGGAGTGGCATTGGGAACAAAACCAGTGGGACTGGGAGAGTACGAGATCCGATGCTGGTCGGTTCACTATCTGATAGGAATATACCAGTGCACATTGCACAATGATACTATGTTCTGTGTTGTGAGATTCGTTCAGTTTGATTCAGTTGTTCCCGGTTGGTTGGCCGTTAGGCCGAGCCCGGAACGCCCCGCGCCGCTCCCGTCTCCCGCCGTGCTGACCCGCCGTTCATTTTGCGGTGCAGCTGGTGACCTGGAGCCTGGCGCAGACGGGCAGCCAGCTCTCGGAGAGCTGCCTGCACGAGCGGGCCAGCGGCCCGTTCGCGGTGCACCGGCCGGGCGGCGAGCCGGCGCCGCAGCGGCCCTACGGCCAGCTGTTCGCGCTCGACGGGCGACACCACATGCTGACGTGCGGCGCCACCGGCGGTAGGCTCTACCAGGTAACGGACTGGGCTCTACCAGGTAACGGACCGGGATCTACCGGGTAACGGACGGGGCTCCACCGGGTAACGGACGGGGCTCCACCGGGTAACGGACCGGGATCTACCGGGTAACGGACGGGGCTCCACCGGGTAACGGACCGGGAAACAGACGGGGCTAAACCGGGTGACGGGCCGGGCTCTACCAAATAAGGACCGGGATCTACCGGGGAACGGACGTGGCTGTACCAAGTAACGAACGGGGCTCTACCAAGTAACGAACGGGGCTCTGCCAGGTAACGAACGGGACTCTACCAGGTAACGGATGAGGCGCCACCGGGTAACGGACGGGGGCAGTTTTAACGGGTAACGGACGGGGGTCAGTTCGTTTGCGGTGTTCCGTCGCTGACCGCCGCCGGTGTGTGCTGCAGGTGGGGCCGTCTGGCCTGGAGCACCTGCTCAGTCTGGGCGGCCACGGCGCGCCCGTGCTCACCTGCGACATGGCCGACAACCTGTGCGTCACCGCCTCGCTGGACGGCGGCGTCAAGACGTCCAGCCTGCTGCTGCCCAGCTGAGGCCGGTGGCGGGCCCGCTCCGGGCGCCCGGCCGCGTCCCCGGGCCCGGAGGGGCTCCGGCAGCCGGAGACAGCCGCTGCCGGAACAGCCGTCCACGCACGTCCGGGCGCACGGAGGGGGCAGCGATATCGGGGCGGTGCGGAAATGACCCGGCGGACCCGGAGCACCGGTATCGATAGTGGACGGAGCGGGACACAGCCGGACGGAGCCGGGTGAGGCCGGAGACAGGACCGGACGGTAGTCGCCGCCGGAGTGACGATCAGAGGTAGGGCTACAGCCGGCACCCGGTGGCTATCAAACAATCCGAAATATCGCTACTTAATCGGGGCAGTGGAGGAGTCTGCTGCCGGCGGGTTCCGTCCGGCTAGCTACAACAGGGTGGTGCAGTACTCGTGCCGCAGGGACAGCACTGCCACCGATCTGCGATGGGCCGCTGCACGCGACGCACAGGCTGACCGGGTCTAGCGGCAGTCAAGGGCCGATGCGGCGATAGCGGCAGTCAAGCTCAGTGCCTCGGCACTGAGCGGCAGCTGTGTCACGCGATTTTTCTGCACTGCACCTATTTACGTGTGAGTGATGCGGGTTTTTCAAGGGTGCTTTGACGGGGCATGTGTGGTACCAATTGGCAATAGCAATCTGCGTAGTGTCTGGTATGACGTATGTTTGAGCTTGTGGCGGAATTAGTTGTATCTCATTTATTTATGCTGAGGTTATGGGGCCCGGGGCTTGATGTGTAACAGTATTCTTGTAGGCAATTATAGTGACTTGCATGAAATTGTTATTTATTTATAATCATACGCAATTATCTGGAATATGTATGATTTCCTGTAGAATTTAACCATCTATCTTGGTTATCAAGATAACATCTTTATTGGTTTGTTACGATAATTTTACCGTTCACAACACGTCATTATTAATCTTTTGCCGATTTAGCTGTGCGACATAGGTACTCCAGCATTCCCGGTGTCATTCCATGGTGTCATTCCGCAGCTGAGCAGCGAAGCCACCATTATCGGCGGCGGAACGTTGCTGCCTGGCCTGACCCATCTCCGTGGCACATTTTCAGAGCTCCTAAGATCTCCTCCACAGTGCACAGACTGCTGCCTAATGTCGATTGTCGAGTGTTCCGTGGTAAATGGAATGGCATCATTACTTTGCCAGCATGCCATTTCATTTGACGTAGAAATGTGCCTATTCATGTCGTGTTCTCCATATTTATGAGTATGCAGCTTTAAGAGTTGTTCGTTTGCAGTGATATGGTTCCCGTACCTGTTTGAACTCGATGTACTTGACAATATATGCCTTGTTTACGCGGTAGGTATACCTTACCTATATGGGAGTTTACTTCGAGCTCGCTGAAGTAGCGCCAATCAAACAACGAAAAAAGGCGCTTACATGGCGTAAACAAAGTGGGCGAATGTGGACGATCGGACATTACAGTCTGCTGAAAGTGGAGCACAATCGCCTGTACCGAAGAGCAGCTTGGAAAGCGCACACATACTGTGTATAACGTCCAAATTTATCATGGAGAGACGGGAAGAACGGCACAAGGCGAGTGAGGCAAATTCAAATTAGGAGCATGTTGTGATGCATTTTCAGTGATGAATCTCATGAATCTTCAGGTCGTGATGATGAAGAGAATGCCCGGGTACAAAGAGATTCGTGTACCTATAGGGCATAGGCGGTTTACGGTTTATACGGTTTTTATAGGCGATTTACGATCCTTGCTTTTGACTTTGAAACACATAATGTTCCAATGAAACGGCTTTAACTGCATAGAAATCTTTCAGTGCCGGGTAACTCCACTTCTTTTCTTTCAGCGAGCTCAAATAGCCAGTCCTTGAGCCAGCCAGTAAATAAGGATTGGGGAAAAAGAACAGCGATTACATGTGAAGGAGACGGGTCAGCAATTTAGTCGCCGTATTTCTTCCGCCCGAGCAGACGTAAACATGGCGAAAGATAGGGCGAAGGCGGCGCGGGATGCGGGGTTCGATGAGGAAGATTTGGAGTGGATTTCGTCTCTCAGGCATGACATTAACGAACATCAAGAAACTGCTGGTGAAAAGTTTATGAGAAAACTCAAGTCCAATCCACTTGTACCCATTGGTAAGGTTTTCTACGTAGGTGAGCTTCCACGCAAAAGTGGCGCAGTGTCTGCCTCTTCGCGTCCGGTCTTAGCGAGTTGACTTACGTAATGATTGAGTTGCCAAATATGTTATAAGGCCTGTTTGAAATAATCAAATCACTTGTCTGGCTCAAATTTCAATTTGATCATGGGGCATTCCAGGACAAAACGACCAATTTTTTTAAAAAATGACACCCTTATATTTTTAAAAGTTCTGAAACTTTGTGTATTGGGTAATCTGACACGCTGGAGACGGTTCTGCCAATATTAGACCTCTCCGACAAAAGGTCACAGAGTTATAGCCTCCGGCATTTTGGAGAGGTCACCCTAAAGACCAATCTTTGAGGGCATATATCTCAAAGAAAAAATATTTTAGGTATGAAAAATATATACCGATGGACTCAAAATTGATCAAAAAAGATTTTGGCTATCTCGAATTTTTTTTTCAAAAATTTTTCAAATTTTTTGATTTGTGACCAATTTTTCAAAGACCTGGCTCGACCTTTTCCTCATCGAAATTGTACTTTTCGTCTATAGACAAAATGTTTTTTGATCAGTTTTCTTTCGATAGAAAAAATAAAAAAAAATGGGTTCTGCCTTTAAAATATATTTTTCGCCACACATAGATGGCGCTGCTGATGCTGTTTTCCTATATTATTACGGAATTTAGATGATAAGATACAGTTCATGACAGATACGTGTTTTCTAACAACAAATAAGACACTGTGACCCTTTTGAGTGGCTATTTAACCTTCGAGGCGGTGGGGGGGGGGCATTTTTTGCCCCCTTTGGTTTTTTCGATATATCTCGAGAACCGCTGCGCCGATCGTCACCAAACTTTCAGTACCCTCCCGGGAGTAGCTAGCGCACATGGTGACCAAAAATTTTTTTCCAAAGGCTATGATAGGTTGGCCGCTAATGACGTCAGAGTGACGTCATTTCTGCCATTTTCGACCCAAAAAAAGGTTTCGCGGGAAGAGCTGTCAGGCCTACAGCTTTAGAGATACAGAAAAATGTTTAATAAATAAAAGGTGTGGAATCAAGAGGGCTACAAAACTGCTATTTCGGTTTTTCGATTTTTTTTATTTTGACCCCCAAAAATAAAAAAATAGATTTTTTAAATACAATAGCCGAAAAATCCAAAATGTTTTTTGAATTTCGAAAAAACGGAATATATGTGATAGTCCCTACCGCTTTCTATCTACATACCAAATTTGAGATCGATACCTCTTTTTTGGCCAAGTTATAGCGAAAAAAACTTCAAAATTGATGACGTTAAATTTTCAAACTCAATTTTCAGCAATTCTAGACCTCGTAACGCAAAACAAAGACCACCATTAGACTCCCCGTGACGAGCTGCATCGAATCAATACCCATTTTATGCAAAAATATCAACTTTGAAATTTGACCTTTTTTACCTGACCTTGACCTGACCGGCTGACCTCCACCAGAAAGTGACCTATTCCGTACCTGATAGTCTTATAACCAACACCATTGAGTTGGAAATGAAAAACTGGCCATAAAACATGCATCGCACAACCTTAGTAAACTTGGGTTCATGTGGTGACCTTTGGTGACCTGACCTGTGACCTGTGACCTGACCTGGTATGACCAGTGACCTCTAATAGCAACATATGTACTAGACAACTGACGCCTTATCGCTGATTTTCGACAAAATGCGTTTTACTCGGTGTTATAGCGCTTTCCCTAGAAGCCCCGTGAACGGTGAAACATTTTATTTTTGACCTGACCTGTGACGTCATCGGTGACCCCTAGGTCAACGAAATTTGGTTTCTTTCGACAAATTTGACAGGGCTATCGAACGCCGTTTGAGCTGTTGTTGGGAAACACACTTTGATCATCATCTGCATCTTATTATCTCAATTCAGTAATTATTCAGGAAAAACAGCGTCAGCAGCGGCATCTATGTGTGGCGAAAAATATATTTTAAAGGCAGAACCCATTTTTTTTTATTTTTTCTATCGAAAGAAAATTGATCAAAAAACATTTTGTCTATAGACGAAAAGTACAATTTCGATGAGGAAAAGGTCGAGCCAGGTCTTTGAAAAGTTGGTCACAAAATCAAAAATTTTGAAAATTTTCAAAAAAAAAAATTCGAGATAGCCAAAATCTTTTTTGATAAATTTTGAGTCCATCGGTATATATTTTTCATATATAAAATATTTTTTCTTTGAGATATATGCCCTCAAAGATTGGTCTTTAGGGTGACCTCTCCAAAATGCCGGAGGCTATAACTCTGTGACCTTTAGTCAGAGAGGTCTAATATTGGCAGGGCCGTCTCCAGCGTGTCAGATTACCCTATACACGAAGTTTCAGAATTTTTAAAAATATGAGGGTGTTCGGCTGTGGTTGAGCTGTCCTGGAATGCCCCTCATGTTAGTCTTTACCCTGCATTTCCAAGCAGAGCTTTCATACTTTTTTTGCTATGATTGAAATGACTGCCCGATGCCTGTCCCATAGCTCAATCAATACCCCTAAAGGCTGAGCTACACTAAGCGTGACCGTCCAGGAAATCACGTGCATGATTTTGAGGCTCCCTTGACATCGGTTTCTGCAATTTTCCAGAATTTCCATGAATTATTTATGCTGACGTAATAATAATTAGGTAATAAATGGTTTTGCTACAAACGCTTAAGTTTGCTATCTTCTATACTTTTTTATCGATAAATAGTTTATCTAGTAAATAAAACATCAAAAACACATGAAAATTAAAGGAACAATTATTAATTATGTCACTTGGATTCATTTGGTGCGCCACCAAGTGCGTCAACAACTGTCTCATATCACGCAATCTCGCATTTGCTGCCCAATGCCCCAAATTGTATCTTGGCTTGGGTGTCAGAGGGGAAGTTCCTCTTCAAAAATGGGGATGAGTGTGGAGAATTGCCAGTCAGATGAGGCCCAAAAAGAGATCAATGGCAATGATTTCTATGCAAGTGTGGTAAAATTAGGATGTAAAATGACCACCCATGCAAATGCTTTTTATGGTAAAATTGGAGTGGAATAGTGTCCTTTAAAGCTAGAGATGAGACTGCAAAATGAATTTTATTTGGATGTCATTTCTCACCCAAATTAACAGATTTTGGGTTTTGATGCTGCCAGAATTATTTCTAAGCCTCCTATAAATCCAAACAACCACTCAAATAATTTAATGCTGATGTGATGACATAAGCTGGCAGATAGGGACATGAGCCAAAAAAATAAGCATTATTTATTGGTGAAACCTTTGGTAAAACTGGCTATGTGGTTAGAAATGTTACAATATGTGCAGAAAAGATGGATGATGACTCATATGACCCACCTGATATGACTCATCTGGTTAAACCAGATGAGTCATTATCCATCTTTTGTGCACATGTAGCATTTCTTGCTGGAAAGCTAGATGATGACTCATATGACCCACCTTATTTGACTCATCTGGTTAAACCAGATGAGTCATCATCCATCTTTTGTGCACATGTAGCAGTTCTAGCTGCAATGCTAGAGATGTTACATTGAGGAGTTCCAAAGACTGCTGAGGTGCTAAAAATGAGGTGTGCCGAAGACTGCTGCACACTACTGATTTGGGACAGCTTGTAGCAGTTATAGATCGTGGTAAATTGTGTGCAGATTCAAATGTCATGCATTGTAGCTCATTCTTGTTTCAAAGATGCTGATTGCTGATGTCAGATGCACTCTTTTGTTTGATGCCACCATGAATAAGCTTTAAGTCTAGACGCTTACCTAGTGTGTCATGTAGAATGCAAAACAGTTCGTTTTCAGTCATGTGCTGCCTGCTGGTTGACCAGGCATGTTATGCTGGTATCACAGTTCAGTGCATTTGTTTTACAGGGTGTCTCGCAACAATAACAGCACTCAGCGTAGGTCTTTGGAACTTCAAATCAGGCCGCAGCCAGGCGTCACAGCGCATGATGCGAATGCGCGTTTTGGCGCAGGGTTTCACAGTAGCAGCTTTAATTGGCGGCATTGCCGCAAATGCCCTCAAATCTACAGCTGCCAACGAAGCTGCTGACAAGTAGCGGGGCTCAAGGAGCCCTGCATCGCCTGTGTTGCATCGCAAGCAAAAGTGTGGCCGATATTGTTTTTGAAACGTATGACTGCTGGACGATAGTACCTTGATTTATGGATTATGTGATACAAGTACTAAGTAGAATGGTGGACGAAGGAACCGCAATGTGAAACGTGGGGACAAGATGAGATCGTGGCTAAGTGTCTGAAAGTTGTGATGATGGAAACTCTTGCTGATAATAAAGAATACTGTAGACTGGTAGTAAAACAAAGTTGTTGTGCTCTGACCAGGAGGATCTTTGAATTTTTCTCGTGGCCAGTTATATTTTTCTTAGTTATGGCAGAAATGTATCCACTCTTTGTAGTAAATAACAATAACATACTTCTTGTAATAAATAGCAACAGCATACAAATGGTATTCAATAGATACTGGCACATGCGTCACTTCTCATGCCAATTTTATAATTCACTGCTTCATTCCGATCCGCTCCAATCGTCAGTCTTCGCGGAGACAGCCCTCTCATCAGCAAACGCGGCCCTGTGTGCAAAATCAGGAGAATTAGGACAGAAGAATGGCAACAACTGATACGTATATGTCCCTAAATATTAAGCGACAGCAGCATTCGAAGCATTGAGAAGCTAGTTGCAAATAACAGCGTAGTTAAACGGCTAAGAGTTGGGCACCTACTGTACAATGTGGTGAAAAACGCGACGAAGCGATCACCTGAAGAGTGAGTGTAGACAGGAGAGCAGGCTGGCGTCCGAGTAGCCGGTGAGGCGGCTCAGCTCGGCCGGCCAGGCTGGCCACACTCCCAGTCGGCTGCGCGCGGCCAGCACGCAGGCGCACGCCACCACCGACGGTCGGTGCAGCATGAACTGCTCGTCTGTCGGAAGTGGGCGCGTTCTAACACACTGCTAGACGTCATGTCACACTGTCACATTCAAGTCGACACAATGAGGCGCCTTCAGCGCAGTAAAGTAAATGTGTATACACAGTAGGTTCTCGCTGAGGGAATTTTCTGATGCCACCGGACCTACCCTGAAGTGCTAGATCCATGAAGTACTGCAGCCGTTCCAGCAGGGCGTTCCGCAGCGCCTGGGCGCCGGAGGTCGGAGGCGGCGGCCCTGTCGACGGGTGGTCCGGGGGCGGCGTCAGCGCGCTGGCGGTACCCACCAGCTCCGCGCCGCGCACCAGGTCACCACGGCCCAGCACGCGCGTCGCCAGAAACTCGACGAAGTGCGCCACCGTCACCAGCGACAGGTTCCAGCTGTAAGCATTTACGCTGCTGGTCAGAAATCGGGGACTTGTGGTGTCAATAACAATCCAACTGACTGTCGACCACGTTCTTTAGCTACTTGATTAACGACCTAAACACCCTGAGACCTTTGATTTGTTCTGGCACCGGCACGACCCCTACTAACCTGAAGAACTCCAGCAGGATGGCCTCGACTGCACGGTAGTCTCTCAGCGGGTAGCAATGCGGTACGAGCCGATGGAGCTCCGGCACATGCGGCACATTCAGGTCACGGTCCTCGAACTTCGCTGCAAACATACGATACGCCCACGTACTGCTGGTACAAGACAGATACAAAGTCACCAATGTAGGTTGGGATTGTGTTGACGCTAACCATCGAGCTGTTATTTCTTTTAGAGAAATAGTGGTTTTTCTGCATGAGCAAACCATTGCTGCTCATATGAGGACTGAGGAACTTATGTCAAAGGTAGTTCTCGGGCTAGTAAATGATAGCGATCGTGAAATGTTTGCACTTCATGGTCAGAGGGCAATGTAAAGAAAAAGACTTGGAATGCAGAATCCTGTCAAGCAAATGAGCCATGATGTGTTAGTGATAAGCTTGGTTAGATACCCTGCTATATTCCACAACAACCAGATCTATTCCCCAAACCACTTACTCGCAGTGACGGCCGGTGGCCCGGTTGTCAATGTTGCAGGCGATCTAAAAAAGCAGATAGCAACTCAGTACGCTGCCAAGTCCTAAGACTGGATCGGCTGAAGCTCTACTGATCCTAGACCCGCGTTACTGGTCAGTGGTCACTGACTGGCCAGCAGGAGACAGCCGAGAGCCACCAGGCTGAGGTGCGCCACCTCTACCCGGTGGTTGTCCATGAAGAGATCCAGCAGCCTCACGGCCAGATGAACGGAGGTGTTGCCGAGCTGAAGCCGCTCCCCAACCAGTCTCAGCATGTCCACCAGTCGACGCCGTTCCCCAAGCTGCGCACCGATTGAAAACGGGATGGGTCAACGTGTCAGCGCTTGGAGGTGACCACTGCGGAAACGTGCGCTGGTTTGCCAAAAACTGGGTAATAGCTGACCAGGCTCATAGTTAGCAGTGAAGGAATGAACGCCGTTATGGGTCCTGTAGCGCTCAGTAGAGCCGTGCCCTGAAATAGGGCCATGGTGTCGGCGCGCCGCAACCTAATTCAATATGCCTACCCTGCGCCGCAACACATTGTGCAGCTGCTTGTTTGTTTTGTTTTGTTTTGTTGGGTGAGGCCCTTTCAGTCTGGCGAGACCATTCCAGAGTCGGAAGGATGGTAAGAATATTAGGAGGAGACATTGGCCTGGACGGGCACCCTATTGAGTAGCAGGGGCTGAGCCCATCCAACTGGACAGGATGCCCAGCACCCCCCCCCCCCAAGCACTCGCTGCACGCGTTACGGGTGTGCTCCGATGGAGCTGCCTCTATGGGAAAAAGTTGCCCGTCCAGCCTGAATCAGGAGTTTGAGGCGTGGAGGAGAAGGATTTACCCCGCGTTCGATGTCTCTCGGACGACGAAGATTCTACGTCGTCCGGCCAATCCCGTCCAAGGTCAGTGGGGGCTCGGCTGCAGTAGCGGCAGAACACCTTCAATCAAGGGGGGGGGGCACTGCCGACTTTCCATGCAACGCCCATAGGGCTAATGTTAAAATGCCAAAATCAAAGGGGGGCACGGTGCCCCGGTGCCCCCCCCCCGTTCCGCCGCCTATGCTCGGCTGCGGTTATGTTATGGAACGTGATTGGCCGGACGGCGTAGAATCTTCGTCGTCCGAGAGACATCGAACGCGGGGTTGCTGTCCTGAGGGTGGAAACAATGGAACGGTGCGATACTGCTTGCGAAGATACATTAGGTAAAATTCAGAATATCAACTCACTTGTGGAGATCTGCAGCGGAAGGTCATCCCTGTCTTTTCTTTCCGTAAGAAATATGAAAATATGTCATCTGCGTAGTCAGTAACCCACCAATTCTTCAGATATGACATCGTTGATAGTGTGCCAACTCGGAAAACTGATGCATAGATCAAGATAGTCTTAAGCGGTACGGTTTTATGAATTCAGAATTAGTGACCGCCTCCAGCAGGTGTTTGGGTCACCGGTCACTGTAAAGGCGGTGCCAGGCGCTGATAAAGGCGGGGTATCATTACAGAAATTACGTCAAAGGTCGATCTTTTGGAAAGGCTTCTGAGGAATGAAGAAATAAAATATTTTATAGCAACTAGAGCATAAAATACTGGAAAATAAGATGTGAAAGTGTTAGATAATCTTAAGAACAACGAATAAGGGACATCTTAGTACTAAATGGCGAATCCGAATCGCCGTGTTCTTCTACGGTGCGTTTGCTAGTATCAGATGACGTCACTATATTTAGTAGCAGCCAGCCTGTAACACAAACAATTTGATATTCTGATCCTTGATCAATGTTAGACAAATGTTAGACTTAGACAATTGGGACGTTCCTAACAGCTGGACTTTTTGCACGCGTTCCCCGCCAGGGGGCGCCACTGAGGAAGCACCCTCTGACGTCACGATAAAACTGCGCGCACTGTGCGCACGGTTCTGTAAGCAAGTAATATAGTGGTGGTTTCATGGTGGAAATTGGAATAAGTATTTTGACGTTGTAAAATTTCAAGCCGTTTTTGTGAAATAAATTAGTAAATGCATTTCAAAAGTATTTATACAAAGTGTGAAACGAGAATAATTAGAAGAACATGCATATTTTTGTTCCAATAGCTTATTATGTGAGACATGATCGGTACTAACGGGTACTTCTAAGAAGTAGTGAAGAAGTACCAAACAGCCTGCTCGGCTACGATCGTCAGCTGTCCTTTGGAGCTGGACTTCAACGCTGTAAAAAAAATGTGTGCTGAATTAATTTTTAGTTTCACCAAAATATAAGCAATTCATCATTTCCTTTTCACTTTTGTAATTATTGTTGAGTGAAGAGACATGTTGCTAGTTCTGACAATATAAATTATTAATTAAAAAAAAACGAAATGCGATGGTAAGTATCTGCTACTAAATTATCACAAAAAACAAATACATAGAGAATCTTGCTACCATTGCTTATAAAACGTGCTTATCAATACACAAATGTTTTATTTCAGACAAGAAGGATTTATTTGCCTGAAGTCTTGTGTCATGTGCTACTGCTTTGATTCCAAAGACGCTCTCCGGGTCGGGGTAATTTAGTTCTTCATCGATCGATAAGAGATTTTGATTCCATTGATATCCAAATTGATAAGCTCGGCACCATGGAGTAAGGGCGTCCCCACAGGGGTGACGCAGGAAATATGAATGGCGTTTACACCGACAGTAGTTTCCCACAGCCGGCAATGGGAATCTCCTGTCGGTGTAAACGCCACTATAGTCCCATCCAACTCAAACACTGGGGAATATCCCCGCACTTTTGAGGACGGAAATCTATGGACCTGCTCGAAAAATAGTGGATAAAATACGGCGAGCTTTCAGTTTTATGGTTTGGTCTCCCTTCCGAGGCACATATTTACGGGGGACATTGGGTCATATTCCCCCGGCGTCCTGATGATCGGCGCCCAGCTCAACGTCGAAGGCGCCCTGATGCGCGGCACTGCTATCTGTGAAGGTGCCCAGGTTGCTGCCGCTCGAATTTTGGTCGCCTACTTAACAAAACCTCCGTTGGTGCCATCTCAGTTTCCTCGAGGTCAGGCAACCTTCACACGCCGTTGGCTACCTTGGCTGGCCGGCGACTCGTTCCCCTCGTGGCGACGCTCTTGACATCCAGTCAAAAGTTGGAGTGGCTGGCGCCCCCAGTGGGGGCCGGGGAAGGGGCAGTGGGCCTCCACGTTGCTCTCTTCCCGAGCCTATGGTGACTTGGCTCAACTCTCCTCAATACAATACAATACAATACAATTTTATTAGGTCCCTCCATTACATGGGTTTTGTGGTGACCACGTCGTATACATGCGAAAACACATCTGGATAAAACACTGCAGTAAAACCGGACAGAAGTGAAACCACAGAGTAAAATACACATCTAAGACATCTTCCGGTACACTAACCAGTCGACCACACCTACTGTTGACGCGCTCCTGAGGACTCGTTCCAGTGCAGGCTGGCGCCAAACAAAAATCCACGACGGCCGAATTCGGTTCGGACCCGGGGCAGACGCAGCTGTCCCCGCTCGGTCGCACGCGTGGTGCGAGCTGACTCGTCGGAGCTGAGCACCAACTTGCTCCGCAGGATTTGTGGTGCACTGTCCGAAGTAAGTAGGCGACTAACCACAGCTACGTCACTGTCACGAATCAAATCGTCCACACACTTCCAACCCAGCTCGTTAAGCACAGGAGTCACGTGATCTCTTCGGCTGAGGCCAGACACGACACGTGCGCCGAAATTCAGCACCTTTTGGACGCGTTTCCTCTGAGCGATGCAGCAGGCACCCCATACGCTGATACAGTATTGATACAGTCAATAGAATCTGGATTCTGCACGCTGTATGAACATGGGCGTAGACACCACTACGGACAATACGGACAGTGGGTTCGACAATCAGTAGTGCCATTCATATAGAGGGTGTCATATATGAGCGGAGAGGCAACAGTACAGCTGAGCGGAGAGACAACATTAAAACAACAGTACAGCTGGCGTTGCATGGAGCTGCAGGCAACCGGACAGCGGAGGCTTGCGAAAAATAAACAATTCGTCACTTCAACGTATAAACAATAGTATAAAAAGCAACATAAACACATATTCTCATGGTCGAACCCATGCACTAGCGGCTCACGGCGGGCACAGGCACGCAGTGCGGTAGCGGTACCGGATCACACGTCATGGGCGTTGTCTCAGCATAGGTTGTTCGCAATCTAGTTGAAGCCTAAGAAGACGGCCAGTGGGGTCTCACTGCTGCTGAGGCGACCTCGGAGACGATGCGTCGCCCCTCCTGTCGGCGACCTGCGGTGAGCAGGACTCCAGATAGCTGTCTGGCACGTTGCCGACACTGCCAGACGCTGTCAGCAGGCCTCACTGCTGCAAGTGATGTGCAGATGGACGCCAGGTGACTTCGTCTGCAGGCGATTCCGGAGACCGCGGCCTCACCAGGCAGCACCACCTGCATCGCCATGTCGGTGTTTCTAGAAATGGAAAAATAACAGTATCGGTGAAGGACAAGCAATACAATGTATTCTGTCTTCCTCTCTTGCAGGTATACGTAATCTACAATTATCATTGTTCCTATTTCATTCAACTGAACCTGCAAATTCCATATTGGCACATTGTTTGACTAAATTTGTGTAGCTGGGAACAGGGGCGACGCCACGGTGCGACGACTGGAGGGGACATTGACCATTTTGGAGGGGACGAGGACCATTTCAAGTCGATTCTTTCCATGCAACGCCATAGGCATAATGTTAAAATTTTAAAAAGTGGAGGGGACGAGATCCCCTCCGTCCCCCCCCCCCCCCTGTGGCGACGCCCTTGGTTGGGAAGCAGATTGTTTGAAATACATGTTTGGCTGAACAGTGCGGAAAATATTTCATTGATCACTATAGCTGCAACAAAAATACTGAGACAGAAAACATTTGCGCTTACCTGGCTCCTTAGTCAGTCCCGCACAACGGAAGTGGTACCATTTATCGCAGCCGTCGCATCCGACCATCGGTGCTGCACTGATGCTGCTGCACTCCCCACATTCCCAGTACCTTAGGAGCGTCTTGGCTGTGAAAAGATTACATGAGTCATGGCGCATACATGAATAGTAAGATGTTTTATATGTTTAACATCGCATAGCAAAGACACAACAGCTGGGAGTCAAGTGTAAGCAAGACTGTATCAAAACTTAACATCATTCCATTATTGCTCAAAACGCAAGCAGTTAACATCGTTATTTCGTCTCTCAAATTCTCTTGTTAAACGTCAAATTGTCTTATTAATGACCATGATGCGTGTTGTAGAGTGTAATATGACATGTGACAAATGGCAATAATAATTATTGTTTTCATCAATATAGCCAGGCAATAAGAATTGCAATAAATGACTTGTTCATCGAATACCCCGTAAACTAGTTTTACCACAAACTTCGGGTCATTGTGTGGAACAAGCCGCCCAATCAAACATTCGGACTATATTAACATAAAAAATAATCCATCACTTTGTAGCTACACGACACGACCATCACGCGTCTTGACCGAAACATGTGGACACATGTAAAGAACATGTGGCCCTTATATTGTATATATGATGAATATGTT